ACTTCTGGATTCCATTTTCTTCCTGCCCCTCTTGGGTGTTTCTAGCAGTGTGACACGATGCTCCATCTTCCTGGAACATCGTTGTGTTCTTGTCCACGAAACCCGAAGAATAAAGTGGCAAAAGTCCTTCCTCCAATATCTCGACGTATTTCACAAAATTAATGTTGCCAACGCACTCCACTAAGCTCGATCTCCCACCAACCCAAACAGCACCCCAAACCATCAAGCTGAAACCACCATGCTTCACAGTTGGCTGCAATCTGTTGAGCCAAAACTCTTGGTGAGGCATTCCTCAAACCCATATCCTTCCACTGTCCAAGAATTGATTCGTCTGAGAACAATACGATCTTCCAAAAGTCCAGAGGCTTGATCATCATATCACTTGCCCGCTTCTTTCGTCTGACTACGTTGGCAGGTCTTAATAAGGGCTTCCGTTTAGCTGCTCTGCAACGATAACCCAATCTGTGGAGAATCCGTTGAACAGATTTCTGGCTCATCGCACCAACTTTGGCCACTTCTGCAGTCGTTAATCTGGGATCCATTTCGATGCTCCTCTTGACAGCCCTTTTTTGTCCTCTCCGATGGACCAGGACGACCCAGACGCTGCTCAGTTGTTTCCTTGCCGTGTTTACTGAACTGCACGATGATTCGGTTGACTGTCGAAAGCGGGATTCCCAAATTCTGCGAAATTTGCCGCTGACTTATTCCACATCTGCTTGACCAACTATCTTTCCTCTAACAAAATCTGACAATTCGAGAGAACCTTGAGTTCTAGGCATGTTGTAGCACAATATAATTAGTGTGCGGACCATTTTCATTTATATAGTGCTCTGTGAACACAAATTAGTTTGCATAAATCAGTTAAATGACGAAACATTAGGTGTCTATGTACTTGTGACCACTCATTGTATATTGAATAACGAAAAACTCAATTTTAATTTAACTGATATAGTTAATCTGATTTCATCTCTTTAGTTTTAAATATTATAAATTACTTGTTATTTTATTAAGTTTTTTTTAGACAAAAAGTGTGTTTGACTATGTGCATGTCTCATCATTTCTATTTAATGAAAACTAGTGTAACTAGTGTAATATAAAATATCATACACTAAAACTAGTGTAATTTATTCTAACGCTCGGTCTCTTCAAAACTAATATAAAATACTCTTACTACTAACTAGACGAGAGAAGCTTTCAACATCAATGAACAAAATACACTTACTATAACTCAATATTTCAAAGGCTACTTCGTAATCTTTAATTCTGATCTGAACTAAAATATGTAAATATTCGATTTTCCAGTAGTAAACTATATATAAGAAATAATAAAAGTCCCATAATTGTTATTGTGTAAATCGTTTTCTCCAGAATACAACAAGGTTTGGATTTCTAGAGAGAATTGGGATATTGAAAGAATGAAAACTTAGTCTTAAGGCTTCGAGTGGTATAAATTATGTCAAAGTTTGAAGTTTTGAACAAAAAGAAACTACTTCTGAATGAAGATACAATTGACGAGAACACATGTTGAATTATTTAATATTTTAATGTAGGTAATTTTTCATTTAAACGTATATGGAGATTTACTGAAAAACGACTTGATTTCAGTGTGCTTTCCTGAGTTTTACAACATCCTTTATCCAATTCGAAAACTGGTGGATGTCATATGGCATCAGATATTCTCAACTCCAGGAAGATCCTTAGTCGAAGGAGTTATGAAAGTTATAGAAGAGAGACGAAAAAATCCAGCGGTAAGAATTTTTCTGTCTTTCATCATATCGATAATAACCGTTACTTTTACTCAGTTTTCGGAAAAAGTCTAATTCAAATTATCTCGTGAAATAGCTATAAAGAATTATAACTCTAAAATGGTATTTGAAGTAATTTCATTTAAAGGACAGTGTTTCTCATCAACCATTATCCACTGCAGGTGATGAAACTGGACTTCTATCAAGTAGATCTGAGAAATGATATAATAATTTTCAGCCTGAACGACGCCTAACGTTCACATGGGTTAAACGGCAAGTTCAGAGACTCCTATGGTTCAGATATAACTATCTATATTCATTCAGTTTTGTAAAAGGCGCGAATCTGAAAAAAAAGGAGTGTTTGTGATAGCATCAAATCTCCAATGTTCGACGTTTCTATTCGCAGCATGACGCGCTAACCACAAGTTCACATTTGATAGAATTGGTTTCTTGGATGTGCTTTGTTATCGTAAAGCTACAATGAACTATCTGCTGTGTCCATCGAGGGGGAATCGAACGCCTGATTTTATCGTTGTAACTCCAAAGACTTACCGCTGTCCCAACGTGGAACTGTGATTTAATCTTAAGTAATATTGAAAATATCAGTTATCAAACTCTGAAAACTGGATGTATAACAAAAGGATTCGATAAATTACTATTGTTGGATGCAAGCGTATTTTCTTCATTTTAATGATAAATGTAGATAAAAATAGATTCGATAAAATACTATTGTTTGATATTTAGGTATTTTATTTATTTTATGATAACAGTAAAATATAACTAGAAAAGTTTGTTGTTGTTTTTCCCAATTTGTTTTAGCTTCGAAGAGTTGATCTTCTTCAGATGATGTTGGATGCTCGAATGACTAAAGAAGAAATTCAAAATGTGACAGCGAAACAACTGACTGTTGGTGAGGATGAGCCAGCAGAAGGTGCTTACAATGGCAAAAAAGGTAACCATATGGCTAATTAAATTCTTATTCTAAAAACAACGGAAAATTATAATTTTAACAAAACATTTAAATTAACTACAATAAGGACCAATTACAAGTTACAGGTTTCTGTGAAGTTGTTTTTTCATGTATGAACTGTTTTATAAATTATTAACGAAAATTTTCTTAACTGTTAGTATATACGTACAATTATCGGTGTATTTCAAGTCAATTGTTGAATATAACTTTAATCTAGGGACAAAATTTGAAATTATTTCTAGAGTTTCGGTTTAATACATGATACATTTAATCAAGGGCATGTATTTATTTGACCCTGTTTGTATCATGAGTTGGTCAAGGATGGTATTTACTGTTTCATGGGAATGTTACATTGTATCCAATATGATCTAAGTGTGGAGTTATTTCAGGACCATAATGGAACTGTAATAATTCATGATCCTTTGATTAGTTCTGTAATTGGTCTAATGTAGAGCAAATGGGGAAAGGAAGAGCAGCTTTGGCTTTTTGAAATATCCATTTCAACTCTGAGAGGGTCAGTGCTTGCTGGTTTATGTCGTTTCAATTCTGGTAGAATCAATACTTGCAGGTGTATATCGTTTCAATTCTGGTAGGGTTAGTACTTGCTGGTGTTTATCGTTTCAACTCTGGTAGAATCAATACCAGCTGGTGTATATCGTTTCAACTGTGGTAGGGTCAGTACTTGCTGGTGTATATCGTTTCAACTGTGGTAGGGTCAGTACTTGCTGGTGTATATCGTTTCATCTCTGGTTGGGTCAGTACTTGCTGGTGTTTATCGTTTCAACTCCGGTAGGGTTAGTACTTCCTGGTGTTTATCGTTTCAACTCTGGTAGGGTCAGTACTTGCTGGTCGATAGACAAATTACTGTAATTAGAACAAAAGGACGGGTTACTGTAAAAAGTACAATAGCCAGATATGTAAATTACAATAAAAATAAAACACAGTGTACTACTCTACATATTACAGTAATACACTGTATCTTTCAAATGCAGTCAGTTGCTGTATAATTTACAGTACAATTTACAGCACTTTTTACAGTGTGTACATAGAGTATGCTTTATACCAGCATAATTTAGATCTTACTTTAACAGTTGCTCTTCATGCTATGTGATAATATAAATAACGTCTCAACCATTATTGTGGTTTTCGTATCTTAGCCGACATGCCGAACATTCATTGGGGTATTTTGGTACATTATTCGCTACTTTTACTCATACAATCTTAAATATACCTCGCTTTATTGTTGCCATAAGCTTACTTTATCAATGTTTTATTGTTGCCATATAGCTTATCAATGTACGATTGTTGAATATTGTTTCGCATGTTCTGTATTATCTCCTTCCTCCCCACATAAAAATTTCAGCAAAGCTGTTTGGTCGTCTTTTGACCTTCTCAGTTTTAACATTAGCCCCTACAGCCCTAAAATATCCATATCTGAACTTCGTTCAAGCAAAGCCATGACTGTGAGTGTTCCATCAGTCTATCAGGATTTTGATCCAAAACATTTTATGTATGCATGGGCTTGTAAGAAAATGAGTCCCCGTCCGATGAATACTTATCCAGAAGAAACTGTATGATGGAATAGAATGTGCATGCAGTCAGGGTGCCATCAGTTTTGTGTAGATCACCAACATCATTCATTGTATATGTTGTAACAAACTTGTACAAATCCTAAACCATGCTTCATTGTATATGTTGAAACTTGACTATGGTACCATTCTCTTCTTCGTCATCGAACCAAATGTCGTCAAATTTTATCGAACACTTCGATCGTTATATTGCTAATGTGTATCTTGCTGTTCCCAAGGTAACATTCACCTATATTCATATCAAAGTCAATTATTTCTTTGGTAATATTTTACTATCCTTTTCTTCTGCTTATATTTCATCAGAAAGTTTCAAAGACGACAAGAAACAGATGAAATTTATCACAGATGTAGAAATTAAAGCGAATTGCTTCCTCTTCCTATTGGCCGGGTAAGTCATGTGATAGTATTACTGTTACTGTAGAAAGTATAGACAGAAACTGTTATATAGATATAACATATTCATAAATAATACAAATGAAACCTGTAGGGGCTTTTCAGAATTATTAATATTGCTGCAATATTCAGTATTTTAATGCTGTGTTTATGTTTATTATCCAATAATTACAAAAATTGAAACCAAATTTAACTTATTTGAACAGTTATGAAACAACAAGTACAGCCCTCGCTTTCACAACCCATATACTGGTGAACCGACAAGATGTCCAGGAAAGGATTCGAGAAGAAATAAACGATGTCTTAGGACACGATGTAAGAGTTGTGTTTTATTTGTGTCTAAAATATAGGATAGAACTCTCAAATAAACACTTCAGGATTTTAGGTTTCAAATCTAAGTAACTTCACCAGGAGGTTTAGAAACTTTATTGTAAAATCTGTACTTATATCATCAGAAGGTTTTTCTCTATGCTCAAAATATTTAGTATGAATTCCAAGCCACGCATTAATTACTTGACTTTTATCTTAACATTGTTCTTTTTAGGGTGACTTAGATTACAACACAGTAAATAACCTTCGATATTTAGACCAAGTTTTCTCGGAATCTCTGCGAATGTACCCGCCAGTTGTCACGTGAGTTTATCCTTCATTTAATTGAAAGTGGTGTCATTTTCCAAAAGCATTATTTTGTCGTATAAATCATACAATTCACTCACTGCCAAACAGTGGAAGCTGGTTTTATAAATACTTTAAGTCGTTTTATGTTGAGATTAGTGTACTCTTTTTAAGTCACGAAAATCGCTTAAAAGAAGTAATGAGACAAAGAATACATATCTTCTTTCAGGTTCATTACCAGAGCTGCTTGTGAGGATTACCAGCTAGGTGATTTTAAAATTCCCAAGGGCACTGCCATACAGGTCCCTGTTTGGCAACTCCATCACGATCCAAAGATCTGGCCTGAGCCATACGAGTTTAAGCCTGAGAGGTAAACACTAGATTGGTAATTCGTGTTAAAAACTTTTGGTCATTTTCACATTACCTTGATTCACACGTTTTTTTCGGAATTATTTACTTTAAATTGGAGTGAGAACTGTGAACATGTATATTTCCAAGCTTAAGTGCAGTGTCATGGTTTTTCAGATTTCTCCCCGAAAATAAGAAGGATATCCACCCCATGGCCTACCAACCGTTTGGATCTGGACCACGAAATTGTGTTGGTATGAGAATGGCGCAGTTGGAAGCCAAACTAGTTTTAGCTAGAATCATACGCGCTTACAAACTAGTTCCATCTGAGAAGACGGAAATCGTACGTTGCACGTTTTACAGTTTAAAAAAAAACATTTATTCACAAACAGAATATATTTTCATGTTGTAACTTTCCTAATATCATGTAAAACGTAAATTATACAGAAATGGCAAGGTAAATATAAAGTAAACAAGTAGAAAAACAATTTAAAATCAATTTTCAACTACATAGCACAGATCTTTTTACTCATTTTTTCTCGTCTTTCAGGGAGATATCCAATATAAAGTCAAGCTCATAACCATTGGTCCTGTAAATGGCGTTCATGTAAAAGTAGTTCCTGTCTAGTGGTGGCCTCTAGTGGAGTGAAATATTCAAATATATAAAAGATTTTTTTAATTTCTCACGTAATGTTTTGGGTTGAGATTAAACACATTGATATTATTAACACTATTCTTGTAGATTATAGGTCTTACTGAAAGTGTATTTGTTAGTTTCTGTACTATTAAACAGAGGTGTAACTCTATACAACTAAAATAAACTGAAGGACTTTTAAATGTTCTTGATCACACTGAGTGTTTCTTACTTTGACTGCTTTTTATTATAACTTGCTTTTTCACAGAAACTAAAATTTTGAGTGTAATGTTGCTTGTAAGCCTGCTGGCTAATCAATACTGTATTTAGTTATTTGGTCTTCACGAAGAGCAAACATTACGTGTTTAAGAAGGTACACGTACTGCTCACAGAACTAAACGTACAAGCTAGTTTTATACGTGTGACAGGATACTGTAGTTCACAGAACTAAATATACTCATTATAAGAACACGTGTGTGAAAGATACTAAGGAAACGTTATTTCGGCCAATACTAGAATGCTTCAGACAGGTTTGGATTCGATAAATATAATATTGGCCTAGGCGCGATGTATATAGTCAATTTTCATACAATAATATTTTTAAAATATAAATCCAATTAAGAAAATGAATATTTACTTATTTTCATTTAAATAAGATTTATAGGTAAGAATTACTAACACAATATACTATATATTTCATTTTAACCGTATGTTTAAATATTTTCTATTATTACTTTATTTGATTTATTTTTACTATCATTCACAAGAACTGGCGAATCAACAAACTAGTCTTCGTGTGGTTAATGTTATTTTCACGACTGGTTTCTATAGACATCCTGTTCACAGAGGGCAGTCTAAAAGTTATTGAAAATATGAGCTCAAAGTTACACGTATCTGTAAACACTACCACTTTTGAAGGTTATTTCTTACTTTTATCAATTTGTGCTTTACAAGGCGATGAAGGGCGAGAAGTTGAATAATAATTAAAAATACTTTATATTTTTAGAAAAATAAGAAAAAATGAAACTTGGAAATATTTCAACCGTTAGATGTCGCTCCCGCATCAACCTATCCATCAGTAGGTTTCTATTGTTTTGTTGAATTTCGCTTAAAGATACTATTTTTAATGCACCCATGACCCTAAAGTGTGGAGCGCAGTGTTATTTATTATTTCTGTGGTAAGGTATGCGACCCAAGAAACTTCACGAATCCGATACACTATCCATTAGGGCGCCATCTGATGGTCATACTAGCAGTTGATGAATAAAATAAATATATAAAACAACTTAATAAACTTCAACCATCACAGATCCAAAAGAAATAAAAATACGATACTGCTGGTAATAATAGTCTTTTTTGATTGGTTGTGATAAAGTACAGCTATTTTTAATTGGTTAGGTGTTTTATAATATAGTTTTTTATTTAATCTGTTATTTCAGTAGAAGTTTGTAAAGCAGTAGTTTGTAGAAAGTTCATTGTTTGATCTAGTATTGAAATAGAAATTTGTTCAGACTTGTTTGCTTTGATTATTAATGCAGCAGAAGTTTGCGCAAAGTGGTTTGATGTGGTCTTCTATTTGACCAATGATTTGTGTACAGTTTTTGTTTTTTAACTGTTATTGTAGCAGTTGTTGAACTACTCCAGTTTGTGCAAACTTCATTGTTTTAGATCTGGTAGCAGCACCAATTTGTAAACAAAAGCTTTGTAGTTTTCCTATCGCAACGAATTTCATTTAACTTTATTCTTCGTCATGTGGTATACATCGCATTCTCATTCTGAATCTATTAGAAGTTTTCAGATTTATTATTCCGTTTTGTACGAACTAGGTTCCTAAGATGTTTCATTCCCCAATTAAGTTTCCGTTTGAAATGCATGGTACTATCTACAGTCTACACCCATTAGCTATATGGTGACGTCTTCTGTACTTCACTTCTCCTAAATTCAATTTCACATAGTTTAGTAAAGTTTTAAAATATTCCCATGCACACACGTTAATCTTTTAATTATATAGATATTGAAACAAAAATATTTTATTTCTCCATCTTAAGTCTTTAATGTCATTTGTTTCTTTTATTCAATCCTTACACTGCCACTTAGTTTTGTTGTTGTTTTTATCAGAAAGACTCGCTTTCAGCAGACCTATTATGTTTGGTAATTAATGTTTCTAAAATTTGACTAGGCCTAAGATGCGCACCTATAAGGTCGTCCTGTGATAAAGATAAATTTGATTTTACTTACAACGACATTTCTCGAAATTTTGTCAAGATATTTTTTAAAATGACGTTTATTTTGCTGCAGTTCTGAACAAAGTAATAAAAAATGCAACCTCCCCCCTTTTAATAGATACAGAATGACTGTATTAAAATTTTAATGTTTTTTACTAATGTTGGAACCAGTTCTTAACGTATACCACTTGAGAACGTTTATTAAACATCCTAAAATTGTACAGGTTTCAATGTTCTTTACTAATGTTGGTAGTAGAACCAGTTCTTAACCTATACCACTTGAGAACGTTTATTAAACATCCTAAAATTGTACAGGTTTCAATGTTCTTTACTAATGTTGAGAGTAGAACCAGTTCTTAACGTACACCACTCGTGAACGTTTCTTAAACATCCTAAAACTGTACAGGTTTTTATGTTCTTTACTAATGTTGGAACCAGTTCTTAACGTACACCACTTGTGAACGTTTCTTAAACATCCTAAAATTGTACAGGTTTTTATGTTCTTTACTAATGTTGGAACCAATTCTTAACGTACATCACTTGAGAACGTTTCTTAAACATCCTAAAATTGTACAGGTTTTTATGTTCTTTACTAATGTTGGAACCAGTTCTTAACGTACATCACTTGAGAACGTTTCGTAAACATCCTAAAATTGTACAGGTTTTGCGTGTGAACTTCATTTGTTTATAGACACTTAAAATATCAATACAGTCACTCTGTTAAATCGCCCCACATGCATGGGCGTCCGCCGAGGAGGGAAAGAAGGCAATCTCCCCCTCCCTGGAAAATGAAAAACATAATTATTTCTTTAATCATTCAGTATATGTAAATGAATTTACAAGTTTTTATTCACTTCACAATTTCACACTACTTATTACACTTAATTTTCAATTCTAATAAAAGTCACCAGATTTATCAGCTGCTTTAATTAAAATCTCTAAATACCTACCTTGTAGCTAAAAGTTGAAAAACGTCGCTACCACAGCGGCTTCTTAGATATTAGGCCCGGCATGGCCACGTGGTTAGGGCGCTCGACTCGCAATCTGAGGGTCGCAGGTTCGAATCCCCGTCACACCAAACATGCTCGACCTTTCAGCCGTTGGGGCGTTATAATGTGACTGTCAATCGCACTATTTGTTG